CAGCCAACTTGCAAATGAATTAAATCATCTAGAACCCTGCAGGCAAACCGGAGAGGAAGAGGCCCGTGTCATCTTCTTCACAGCTTTACAATTCCATATCCTCTCCAATTAAGACGTCTGTCCCCATTGGCTAAAAAACCTGTTAGCCAAATACAAATCAAAGGAATTAGTCACCACAATACATTTATAGTGTTGCAGCATTGATTTCACACAGTGTGAATGGCCTTCTGGTGGTTTCTATTCAATATAATTGTTTATTTTTATAATAAGCTGCAAAGTCACACAGTTCTTGAAAATAAATGTTTATATTATATCAATATAAACAGACTGAAAACTGTATAACATTGCAGTGCCTCATAACTGACCACAAAGTGACAAACCGAAGTGCAAATTAAATCAATGGCAGAATGGATGATTATCAAAATAAATAGCACATGAGTCATATGTACAGTATAGAAGCTTGTTTCCATATCTCGCAAGTTTCCAGTTTATATCTCCAATTATGAGAAAAAATTAAAAAAAATTCAGAATTGCGAAATATAAAATAAGAAACGTGAGATATAAACTATAGAATCTGGAGGGGGAAAAAAGTCAGAATTTCAAGATAAAACCTCAAAACTGCAACACAGACTCAGAATTGTGAGTTATAAACTATAAGATATCAATATAAACAGACTGAAAACTGTATAACATTGCAGTGCCTCATAACTGACCACAAAGTGACAAACCGAAGTGCAAATTAAATCAATGGCAGAATGGATGATTATCAAAATAAATTAATCAAATTTTGATTAACAAAACAAATAGCACATGAGTCATATGTACAGTATAGAAGCTTGTTTCCATATCTCGCAAGTTTCCAGTTTATATCTCCAATTATATCTGAATATTTTTCAGAGTTGCGAAATATAAAATAAGAAATTCAGAATAGTCAGAATTTCAAGATAAAAACTCAAAACTGCAACACAGACTCAGAATTGTGAGTTATAAACTATAAGAAGAAAAGTCAGAAATGTGAGTTATAAACTCTCAATTGTGAGAAAACAATTATTATGAGATAAAAGGTCGCAATTACCTTTTTTATTTTTAATTCCAAAAAAAACAGAATTATGAGATGTAAAGTCAGAATGTTGAGAAAAATTTAGAACTGTGAGATGTAAACTCAGAATTGCAAGAAAAAAGTCAGAATTCTGAGTTTTTCCAGAATTTCTGACTCTTTTTTTCCCTCACAATTGCGTGTTTATGTCCTGCAATTCCGAATTTATATCTCGCAATTTAAAAACGTCAGAATTGTGTGATAAAAAGCTGCAATTATCTTTTATTTTTATTTTTTTAATTCTGTGGCAGAAACAAGCTTCCATATCGTAATAGTGAGTAAAAAGTCTGAATTGTGAGATAAAGTCACAATTACTTTTTATTATTATTATTATTAATATTATTTTTAATTCTGTGGCGGAAACGTAATTTCTTTTTAGCATTTTAGCCAGATTACCCTAGTAGCCATTGACTTTTGTTGTACAGAAAAAACAGTTTGCTAATCATCTCCTTTTGTGGTCAACGGGAAAAGAAAAACAATACAGGTCTGGAACAACATGAGAGTAAGTAGATAATAATTTGTAACAGAATTTTCATCTTTGGGTGAATTATTAATTGCACGTTATAGCTTTGAAAATTAATTGCTAAGGACTCAAATGTACGTTTAGTTTAAGTCCAGACAGTGCATTATGCAGCTATCATCTGTCATGTGAAGGTCGGAAACTTCACCATCAAGACCCATCTAAACTTTGGAAAGATTTCAGTGCGTTCGGAACTACTGATGGATTTCAGATCAGCTGTTAGTTTGTGTCTTTCCTCTTCAATCAGCCAAACCACAAACGAGCAGCTGCCCGAGGCTCTGAATGACTCATCGTGTGCCGGCCTACGTGAGAGTTCCTCTTGTCAGGAAGAGTCTTTTAATGCTTCGTCCCATGGCCCATCCGCGGCTCTCGCTGACTGAGGTTCAGAGGTTTGCTTGACACAGCAGAGTCTGCGTTTCCGATTGCAAGAGCCCGTTTGAGAAAAAGAGAACTTAAGGAAAAAAGTGGCTGGTGGGTGATGAAATGCATTATTTAATACACTTCAATGGGTGTGAGATTTAATGTGCTTTTCAGAACACAGATGAGTAGAATGATTTAACTTGACTAAAAGTATCAGGATCGGATGTCACAAGGACTAACTCAAGGTAAAGTGCTCAATAATTGAAATCATTCAAAATTTATAAACACTGAATGCACATTTCATCACCAATGAATGTTCCAATAGCTTAGAAATTGAAAATTTATAGGCAACTTTTTTAAGATGCAGAAACTTTGTTTAATAATACAACTTTCTAAAGGAAATTAGATTTTCACTGCCTAAAGGAAATACCAATACCACAGGAATTTACCTAAGCTGAGGTTTTGGTTCGGTGTGAAGGAAATGCACAGAACAATTTGCTTTTGTCATGACAATCAGCACACTTTTTTTGTTTTTGTTATTGTTTTGTTGACTGTGCATAGGAATCAATGCATAACAAGCAAAACCAAAACTAATCCAAAAAGGCCAATCAGAATTAAAGGGGTCATATGACGTTACTAAAAAGAACATTATTTCGTGTATTTGGTGTAATGCAATGTGTTTATGCAGTTTAAGGTTAAAAAACACATTATTTTCCATATAATGTACATTATTGTGTCTCCTCTATGCTCCGCCTTTCTGAAACGCGTTGATTTTTACAAAGCTCATCGTTCTAAAAAAGCGAGGTGTGCTCTGACTGGCCAGCTATCCAGTGCGTTGTGATTGGCCGAATACCTCAAGCGTGTGACGGAAATGTTACACCCCTTAACATACTGTGATGCCGTCTCCCAAGAGGATGAGACTCAGTCCAGCTGCTCTGCTCGTACACATCCCATCATCGGTTCTCTTTCAGCAGTTCAGTCAATGTACTGTTAGGAGTAACTGAATAACTCGGGATATTGGTTTATTTAGCGTCAGAGGGAGTGTCAGGCACGTTTATAAACTGAATACCTTAAGTAATTTGTGGATTAGTGCATACTGGAGAGCGAACCGTTTCAAACGATTCAGTTCGATTTGGTGAACTGGTTCGACCGGTCCACTAAGAAGATCCGGTTAAATAGAACGATTCGTTCGCGATCCGGACATCACTAGACGAGACAAAACCAATAAAACCCATTACAAAAGAGGCATTTGTTGCATCCAGTGGGGACATAATTACTGATTATTATGACTTATACTGTCTTTTTACGCGTTGCGTTGCGTTGCATATCGCACTGCGTAAACATAAAACCATGTCTGCATTTGTGATCGGAGAAACAACAAACAACAAGCGCTACTCTACACTGCTCAAAACTCACGTTTGAATCATCATTGGCAAATTATTTAAATATAAGAAAACTTACTTACAAGCTGTGTGTCAGAAGCAGCAGACTGTCCTTGCAAAGTTGGAATTGCCCCACTTTATAGAAACAGCCTTTGTGCACAGATGCATTGTACTACTCTACAGGTTCAGGAAACAGTGCTCCATAAAATGTGCTGCACACGTCTGAATATTCGGGTTGAACTGTTCTGGAACAGTGTTGTAAATACAACTTAACCACTGATTTCTAGTTGAAAGGCCAAACAAAGTAGTTTCGCTTTCACAAGGAAACACACAGCGTCACACACGGCGGCCTTGAGTGAGCAGAGGCCGGTGGGCTAGAATGAGGAACGGCTCTAGTTTCACAAAACACAAATCTGGCAAGTTATAGTGGCAGCTGATAATTATCTACATTTTTACATTTTCTGGTGCAAAACCCACAGCCATGATGCTAATGTTTTGCAATGTTGCCAGAAACATTGGCATTGTTAGAATGCCATTCTGGCGTGGGCATTTGAATATGTGGTGTTGCAAACTGATATCACTATAAGAAAGGATTAATATTTGGCCTTGAGAAATGATTTTGCCATTTTAAATATACACTGTAAAAATGATTTCTTTCTACTTACAAATTTCACATTTAATTCAATGTGTTACTTGCTGTCTCTGTCAATTTTTTTTAAATACACTCTTAAAAATAAAGGTGCTTCAAAAGGTTCTTCAAGCGATGCCGTAGAAGAACCATTTTTGGTTCCACAAAGAACCATTCAGTCAAAGGTTCTTTAAAGAACCATCTCTTTCTTACTTTTTATAATATGAAGAACCTTCTTTCGCCCCAAAGAACCTTTTGTGAAACAGAAAGGTTCTTCAGATGTTAAAGGTTCTTTATGGAACCATTTAGACAAAAAGGTTATTCTATGGCATCGTGAAGGCTAGTTTCACAAAACACAAATCTGGCAAGTTATAGTGGCAGCTGATAATTATCTACATTTTTACATTTTCTGGTGCAAAACCCACAGCCATGATGCTAATGTTTTGCAATGTTGCCAGAAACATTGGCATTGTTAGAATGCCATTCTGGCGTGGGCATTTGGATATGTGGTGTTGCAAACTGATATCACTATAAGAAAGGATTAATATTTGGCCTTGAGAAATGATTTTGCCATTTTAAAATGGCAAATTTCACATTTAATTCAATGTGTTACTTGCTGTCTCTGTCAATTTTTTTTAAATACACTCTTAAAAATAAAGGTGCTTCAAAAGGTTCTTCAAGCGATGCCGTAGAAGAACCATTTTTGGTTCCACAAAGAACCATTCAGTCAAAGGTTCTTTAAAGAACCATCTCTTTCTTACTTTTTATAATATGAAGAACCTTCTTTCGCCCCAAAGAACCTTTTGTGAAACAGAAAGGTTCTTCAGATGTTAAAGGTTCTTTATGGAACCATTTAGACAAAAAGGTTATTCTATGGCATCGTGAAGAACCTTTATTTTTAAGTGTACTAGCAATTTATACTCAGAAATTGATAGTAAATTTAACATATAGTTACAAAGAAATGGCAAGTAGCACATTAATCTAATAATCCAATAAACATACTCCAATAAAATTGTAAAATGTACTAAACAAATAATCTTTGTGTAATTTACAACTTCAAAAATAATAATAATAATAATAAATACAATTAATTAATTAATAAAAATGTACAGTGTACACAAAGTTTTTTTTCTCTCTCTCTCACCCCGTTTCTTTTCTTTCTCCCTCCGTTTTTACTTTAGCTGGGAAAATGAGTCTGTTATTGTCTTTTTGCATTAATGACAAACTATTTTCTGTTTGACACTGTAAAGCTGCTTTAACACAATCAGTACTGTATAAAGCGCTACGGTGACTTGACTTGACATGTATCAGTGTATCAATTAAAGGGATGGTAAGCGATTTTGGAGAGGCTAGCAATAGAAAGCTAGCTTTGAAAGCATAAGATCCCACCCTCCCTGCAAATCCCTCTCCAAAGCCACGCCTCCTACAAAACACATGAATGCGCACAAGCACACCAGAGGCTAACCAATGACATGATGAGAGACGGCGTTGGTGGAGGGTTGAATGCTACGCTATCAGATTACCTCATGTCTCACTCACCGGTGAGAAAACATTACAGTACAAAGCGCATAATATTACAATAATAATGCCTTTCATTCTCACTCGGTCTGCAAATACATATGTTGACAAGCAGGTAGGACAGCCCATCATAGTCCTCGGGCCGAGGGATGGTCCTACACCTTCCACAGACAATATAAATACATTTAGACTGCCTAACTTATTGATTGCTATCAGGATGTGAAGAGACTTTCAACCAGTATAACAAAAAAATGTTTTTAAACCAAATCACCTACCCTGCCTTATAGGTTTTGTCTTCCAGTGCCACATTTGTGAATCAAAACCTCACTTGATTCTTTAATTGACCTGGTCTGGACTCCTGAACTGCAATACTCTGAGCTCAAAGTCGTTTAGTTTGTTCTCCAGTGTTTCTGTGGTCCCTGAACACGCTTTAATTGAAATTGTCCCCCATTGTTCACGCCCACAGTTTTGATTTACAGAGATAAGCAACTTTGCCGTGACCTTGGCTGGCTGTGACATGGGTCACGGGCTCAGGTGCTTTTGCAAGCATCCTCAATCAACTCAGACTGGCTCGGATTAAACCGCACCATTGGCCCACAAAGATTAGTCCTTTATTTGCTCCGTCATTTCTTTCTTCTCTGGTGGCGGCATCCTGAGGAAGGGGGGAAGGAAATGTGTAAACAGTGCTTCAGTCAGCAGCTTGGCAGCCCCTTTAGTTCCAAATGACCAATGATATTGATTACATAACACTGCGTGGTCCACTCCACTGCCCTTCTATTGTACGCGCTTATCAGACGAGGTGCACAAAGCAAATTCATTTACTGTTTACTGTCCCTGAGAGGGGGGAGTCCATAGGGCCTTTCGCACCGCTTTAGTTCCAGAACTAAAGTACTGGGACGATTTTGTGCAAACTATTTCCCAATACCATTTAAAGGGTTGCATTCCCACTGACAGTGTGTACTAGGAAGTGACGTAAGCCGGTCAACAGAGATGTCATTTGTGCTCGGCGTTCAACAACAGAAACAAAGAAGAACAACATTAACAACAGGAGGATGGAGGACGCTGTGATCGGAGCTGTGTGTTTGTTGTGTCTCGCGGGTTTCCCAGTAATGGACATGGAAAGTTGACGTACACGTAAAGCAATTGAAAGAACAGAAAGGAGGACTAAGATTCTCCAACGACAACTGGCAGTGCCACACTTGCTCCAAGTGCCTGCACTTCAGCGTTCGTCCATCTATCGCTGTTCTCCATACTTGCGAAATAAGTTGACACAGTGTTTACAGTATGTTTACACAGCGTTTTAAATCATGGCGGGTGAGGGCGTTTTCATACACGTTTGGCCAATCAATGTCTAATGTGGGTAGTTCCACAATTAGTTCTGGTACTACGAAAAGGTTCCCGCGGTGCGAAAGGACCTCATGTGTGGAAAAAACTGAGACTGACATGAGGCTTCTTTGGTTCTTTCTATTAAATAAATCTCTTGGTTTTTGAAGCCCAACTCAAAAAAAAAGCCAATTATTCTCAAGGAAACTAGGAAGAGGGTTTTTTCCTAAAAACAAATAGTAAAAAATAAAAAAGTAAAAAAATAGTCCATAAGGAATGTAGGATACATGCTAAGTCTTTTGATTGATTTTGCTCAAGGCCTACCAGTTTTAAAACAACACAAATGAGTAAATGAGTAAAAGTTTTCATTTTTGGGAGAACTGTCCCTTTAAGCAGTTACCGCACCAGACACATCAAATGTATTAATTCACTTCTATCATTAGAGCCTGTGAGTCTCACTGAAGTGTGAAGTGAGTTTATTTCACATTGATTGTGTTCATTCTAGTGACCTTGCTTACTGTAATTGATATTAATTGCCTGCCACACATCTTGTTCTGTATACATACTTGGCCGAATCTTTGCTCTCCTGCTTTCAAGCTGCATAACATAATGAATTATTGAAAAGTCATATATTCCTCATGCCTGGTCAAGAGAAAATTGATTGTGCAGGATAAAACTGTCAAGCTGCTTATACCGACCTGTAGCTGCTTTACTGTAGCATTTCAATCCAAATAATCGAAAGATTCACAGCGGCTATTGATCCAATGAATGAATTTATGAACAGAATTAAAAGTGCTGGGTGTGAAATAGGTAGCTATGAATAACGTTTGGAATTATTAAAAGAAATAAAACTGCAGATAAAGTCTTTGGCCAGAAAGTATGAGTTATTTATGGTTTTTGTACAAAAGACTTCTCACTTCCCATCAATAAAATCAACAACAACAAATAAATAATAATATAAATGTCAATTTATGCATTTACCAGATACTTATATCCAAAGTGACTTACATTGCATTCAAGGCATACGTTATTTATTATTTCATAAATAATTATGAAATTCCCTGGGAATTGAACCCATGACCTTGGCGTTGCAAACACCATGCTCTGTTTGAGATGCAAGAATACATAAATAATAATTATATATATGTATATACGTATATAAAATGTACTATTAATTATATATACTATTAATATATATATATATATATATATATAGACAAAATAAAATAAATAATAAAATTAAGTAACTTAAAAATAAATATTACAAATATTATTAAAGATGAATACCAAACTATTGATATTGGAAGCTGTTTATTTGTTGCTTAAGGTATTAATTTATTATTCTTACTGAGACCAAAGGCTTGTGTCATACTGAAGTCGAAATGTTGGTATCAATCCAACTCTACTTCATGGCGCCGTTGGCAAATGAGATCCAAGACGATAGTCTAGCGCAAAGCTCATAGCAACTGTAGGACAGTAGACTTGAGAGAAAGAAAGAATTAAAAGACTCTTTAGAGGAGCCAGAATTGAGCAGAATCTTGGAAGTGGAAGTCTTTGAAGACTTCCACCCTAATCCCGTCTGCACCCGTGCCGCCCCCTCCACAGCTTTAATTCCTGAAGTCGAAGCCCTTCTCTTGCTGGAAAGCAGACTGAGGGTCAATGCAGAGCGCCAAGATATGAGCCTTGCAGTGTTAGGATAGAAACTGAACAGATCACACTGTAGCCTTTTCCTGAATGCAACATTAATCCAGTATGGATGGTAAGAGGATAGAGAGCTATTGTTGGGGAATTGTATAGGATGAATTCACGTCTGAAGCTGAATGCTTGTATTTTTCTAATAATGGGCTACGCTTCGCATTGTTTGGGTGCTCAATGGTCGATTATTTGCAGCTGTAAGTGGGCTGTCAATATCCTCTGGGTAATATCGAAAGCCAACTCATATAACACAGGCTAAGACTAATCCAGGATTTAAAAGAAATTTAGCATCTGCAGCACTGCTCTCAGTTTAATTTTATAGGCTGAGGATCGTAATCAATAACTAATCAATGAAAAAATGTAATGTTTCACATCACGGCTGATCACCCAACGGTGAAATGAGGAACGGTTCACTGAGGATTTTCTCCAAGATCTATAAAAACGAACGATATATTTCATGTTTGTTCTCGCATTGTGTAAGAAGAATGACTGTGGTCGTATTTCTTAAATGGATGCCCCTTTTGATTTACACGCCAACAATAAGAAGCTCTAGAAAGATAGATGAGAAGACATGTGAAAAATGGTGGGTGATTTGTGCTCGAGGGCCACTCTTTCTTTAAGAGAAAAAAATAAAAGAGATAAATGCCTGAGATATGAATCTGAACGAAACTGCTCATTTGCTTTTAAAACAAAGACAAATTCATGAGACTGCTAGTCAATATGTGGGATACAGCACTGGACAAAGGTCAGGGCATGGGAGGGGTTATATCAATGATCATTAGCATACAAGCAGACAGTTGGTCACATGATACAAATTCCATTGCCCGTTGGTCTTTTAAGTCTTGGAAAATGCACAAAAGGAACTGTTGGCATGGGAATATTTAATCGCATACTACAAAAGAGAACAAACGACTCACTTTAGAGAGATTTCAAACAAAGAATTATGCAGCTTACACCATACACCACAAATGTTTGGAGTAAATACTATTTTTTTTTTTATTAAATCAATACTTTTATTCAGCAAGGATGCATTAAATTCAATCAAAAGTGAGAGTAATGACATTTACAATGTTCCTAAAGATTTCTGTCAAATACATTCTATTCTAATAATCCAAAAACTATTACAGTTTCCACAAATATATTATTAAAAAATATTAACTGTTTTCAACATTGATAATAATAATCTTCAGCAGCAATTCAGCATTGTAGAGTGATTTCTGAAGGATCATGTGACACTGAAGACTGGAGTCATGATGCTGAAAATTCAGCTTTGTATCACAGAATTAAATTACATTTTAAAATATAATAAAATAGAAAACAGTCATTTTAAATTGTAATAATATTTCACAATATGACTCTTTTTTTTCAGATTTTTTGACTAAATAAATGCAGCTTTGGTGAGCATATGAGACTTCTTTCAAAAACATTTAAAACATTTTCCTCCTGACCACAGACTTCTAAAGGGTAGTGTAAAGTGTGTTTGTGATAAGCCTATTTTAGGGCATTTATGACACAAAAATGACAAGATACCTGTTTTTGGCCGGATTCTAAGGCAGCATGTATCCATCAAGGAAAAGAAAATGTCAATACATATTGTATTGGATGAACAGTGAAATATAAATTGATTTATGATCCTTATCTTATGATGTTGTTGGATTTTTTTTTTTTCTCCACACGGTTGGTCACAATGCATGCTGACATTTTCTTTTCCTCGATGGATACAGAGGCATCTTGCATCAGGCATCTTGTCATTTCTGAGTCATAAATTATGACAAAAAATATTGATTATAATCTATATTATAAAATATTGATTATAAAAATTATATGATATAATATATAATATGATATAATACACAAACTAAATAAAGTACACCATGTCGTGTTTTTTTTTTTGTATTATCTGCATTTTAGCGTAGTAACATGCTACCATCAGAGTCTAGGATCATAGATTTTTCAAAGTAAACTTTAAAGACAACCAGCCTCATATTCTACTTTAGAAAAATTTGATAGACACCAACAGACATCTAATGAAGCTTAATCTGTGAACTGCAATGTGCCTTTAAAAAACTATTATTTTCTCCTTAAAACTATGTGTTATATGTATTTTAATCTGTAGAAACAAGGAAAAGAAAATATCAATACATATTGTATTGGATGAACAGTGAAATATAAATTGATTTATGATCCTTATCTTATGATGTTGTTGGATTTTTTTTTTTCTCCACACGGTTGGTCACAATGCATGCTGACATTTTCTTTTCCTCGATGGATACAGAGGCATCTTGCATCAGGCATCTTGTCATTTCTGAGTCATAAATTATGACAAAAAATATTGATTATAATCTATATTATAAAATATTGATTATAAAAATTATATGATATAATATATAATATGATATAATACACAAACTAAATAAAGTACACCATGTCGTGTTTTTTTTTTTGTATTATCTGCATTTTAGCGTAGTAACATGCTACCATCAGAGTCTAGGATCATAGATTTTTCAAAGTAAACTTTAAAGACAACCAGCCTCATATTCTACTTTAGAAAAATTTGATAGACACCAACAGACATCTAATGAAGCTTAATCTGTGAACTGCAATGTGCCTTTAAAAAACTATTATTTTCTCCTTAAAACTATGTGTTATATGTATTTTAATCTGTAGAAACCCTATGTAAGTACTTTCAAATACTAAAATATTAAGCAAATTACTATTTGAATTGCACCATGTATGAAGCTGAATAGCAGGAGTGCTTGTTATGTAGACTGCTATAATATTGGATGTCAAAACACCAACCCACCCAGAAACATGAAAGGGGTCAAAAAACAGCAAATGTGCCAAAATCCTCTTACAAATCATTGAGTGGTTTGACGTCCGCTGCTCGATCTATCATTCTGGGTGACACATTCTGCCCTGCATCAGTCTGACCTTTTGAAAAACCAGCTGTTCCTTTTTGCAAAATTTGACCAGAGGGGCGGTTTTGCCAGACATCAATTGATTAGACAAGCATTAATCAAACAGAAGGATTATCCCCTTCCATTTCTATAGTAAACCAATTATAGCTCTCATCGCCGAGGAAGGTTAACTGGCTGGATGGGCAATCCGTTTAAACAGCTGACGCTTGAGATGTGGGAGAAGGTGAGCAAAGACAACGTGCGAGATGGACTTGTGGGGGAGACAAGCATGAACGGACACAATTGACCATTAAAGTTAATTGAGAAAATGGCCTTAAAAGGGGCATAAGATTCAAGGATGCATGGCAACCACCATGCTCGCCCTGAAAATAAGCCCTGATGTTGTTGTGCCGGACTGGGGGAGGCCAGATTGAAGCTTCGCTCTCTTTAATGAATTTAATGGGTTTAATGATGATAGCCACTTCTTAAAACTTAATGATCCTTTGCGTTTTCAGCACAGCTAACTGACCCTGTTTAGGGCAACATTGAGCCATCGCACCAGACTCCATCAAATTTGTTCTGGTTCAATAAGCTATAAATCCTTAATTTGGGGGGAGAAGTCTATTGCAGCCTAATTGTCTTTTTATTTAGTCCCAATACATGATTATTTCCTAGTCATTGCAGTCATATTCGAGTAATGAATGGAGTGGTATTTAATGTGATAGTATCATGCAATTTCCATAGCTAAGTGCTGCATTGCCATTGAGATGCACTGTTATTTTTAGTGTCTGTATTATTCACCTAGCACTTGGATATCATCGTTATTTACCTACTTTCTTCAGGTGGGCACCCGCGGCAATCCTGGCACGTTTGATGCCCTAGATGAGATAAGACATGACAAAAGAGAGGGAAAAAACTTATTAATTCCTAATGTATTTAGCATGCAAAGGCACCCAAGTTCAAAACCCAACCCAATATGTAATGTTTTTAAAATTAATTTTTAAAAGTATAACCTCAACTAAACATCAGCAGTCAGTGATCAACATGCATTTTCATTGTAAAAAGCATCTCTGACATTTGCATAACAACTTTTGCTGTTCTATGGGGGAAAAAAACATAAGAGTTTCAAGTCACATGAGAGTGAATAAACAATCACAGAATTTTAATTTTTCTGACACAATATCAATTATCCAAAGACAATTATTTTGAGGAGAGTTGCATTTAAAATCTGATCCTTCTGACTTCCAGGCACTAAGTTTTATGGTGTATGTCATTCAAGTTCACACACTGTCTTTGGAGAGTATACAGATGCTTTCGGGCATCTTTGATGTGGAAATTTACAAACTTAATGCTTTGAATGAGAAAGGGATTATACTTTGCGAAACTCACATTTTAGCGTCTCTCCACAACATATCTCTTGCATGATTGATCATATTTCACTGCAGAGTTTATCATCTATTCATGGGGCCAAAACAACATGAATTAATAACATAAATATTCAACATTCCCCCATATAACACTGCATGACTAAAAATATGTGGACAGAGTAATCTAATAAACCAGTGAAGACAAATCGTAACGCTACTAGAAAATAGTGTGAATTTAACTTTGTTGCCAATGTCTGGGGGGGGGTCTTGTTCTTTTCCTATACACAAAGGGAGGTCTGCAAAGAAATGATTTACAGAGTCTGGTGTAGAAGTAATGGCCTGTACAAAGACCAGTCCTGAAAATATACAAATACTACGTACAAATATGGGTGTTATGCCTTTAGAAGGTTTTGAAAATGGTTTGAAGGCCTGCTGGATGGATGGATGGATGGACAATAGAACATTAGAATGATGGATGGATGGATGGATCTCATAAATTGGAAGAGAGAGAATTCTTTGAATTTTGCCCAACTCAGATGTTCACATTTTTAAAACAGCAGGAGTGGTCTGCTGGTAACTACAGAGTAAGGCAATTTTCTCACTTTGCTCAGTTGGACATCTAAAAACAATTGCGAGACCTCATATATTGTTATTCACACATCTAGAACACTGCTGCTGCTTTTAAATGCTCCAGTGGTCCAAGGCAGTGCACATGAAGCAGTAGGAACAAGCCGAATTTTAAAAGGTCACCATGCCTATTATTAAAGGCATGTCAAATACCAGAGATCTCTATTAGCATTTTAACAATGTTGTCCCTGATATCCAAGCGTTGGGTAGCTAAATATGACCTCAGGCCTGATAAGCACACATCAATATTTGGATCCCAAAAAAACTGTTCTCAAACATGTCACATCCTTAATGCGCATCTTAAAATATACATGTGAAATTCATCTTGTGTTAGGGGTGGTCCTGGGGTTTGATTGACAAGGTTGCCCCCCTTGACCTTTGGAACTGGGCACAGGTGGCGCTTCTAATGCGTCTCCATTTGGGTCAAAATCACTGTGTGATGTCCTTCATGGGTTCTATAATGCTGTGTGTTATTGCAGAAGAGCCTGTTTGAAGATAATCTTGCTCAGATTAGATTAGATTCAAATTACATGGACTCTGTAGACAATATTATAACGCTGCATTACTCCCTTTTAGATTACTTTATATAAGGAATAATTAAAGGGATACTCCACCTCAAAATAAACATTTTGTCATTAAATCACTTACCCCCATGTCGTTCCAAACCCATAAAAGCTTCATTCATCTTCGGAACACAATTTAAGATATTTTGGATGAAAACCGGGAGGCTTGTGACTGTGACATTGACTCCCAAGTAAATTACACTGTCAAGGTCCAGAAAAGTATGAAAGACATCATCAGAATAGTCCATCTGCCATCAGTGGTTCAACCGTAACGTTATGAAGCGTCGAGAATACTTTTTGTACGAGAAAAGAAAACAAAAATAATGACTTTATTCAACAATTCGTCTCCTCTGTGTCAATGAAATTATAAAAATGAATACACAATGCAAGCAGTGCACATCTTTAACTGGCAAAGTCTGCTCCTTTTGTGTCTTCACACTGTCGGCCCATCATGTTAATCAGCATGTGTATTGTTTTTGATCAAAATTTATGTTTCCAGCAATATATTCACATCAGCTCTGTGCTGCATTACAAATCACAGTATATTTGCTGCTTTGATGCAGATTGCATAAAATTCCAGCAAGATGAATCGTTCTTGCAAACTTACTGAAAATTGTAACTTAAAAAGGAAAATGTGACTGGTAACATGACAGCTTGTGGGACAGACCTCAAATTTGCGAGTGTTCTTCTGTGAATCTCTCCTTAAAAATACATTTAAAATGATCTCTGTTGGAACCAATTATTTTCAGAGAAAAAAAAAACAGTCAATGGAACCTTTTGGACATGCAATGGATGCTGGGAAAGTAAGACGGAGAGCTAATTGGAGCAAAGACAGACACTCTGAAGCTGACGTTTGGCTTCTACATGTCACAGTGAGATTTGCTTGTGATTGGTAATCCTACAGAAACTCAGTGGCACAAAAAGTCGTCTGCTCTCAATTGTCCTTTCTGAAGAGTGATTGATACAAATAGAGAGTGAAGTCCTCTGAGGCATGAGCTCATGCATTGTGAGTGTGAGGTCTTGATTTTACCAAATGAAAGACGAGGACTCTGTTGATAAGATGAGCAAAGTGCTGCTGATCTCAACCATGACACCTTTCCCACAGCTGAAAAAAAATACAAAAATAAATATTTTTAGACTTTATATGAATATATTAACTTATACATTATATTCAACAATCTAAAATATAATTTATATATAACCTTAAATTTAAGAAAAACACAAATAAAGCACATATATTAAAAAACATCACCACTAATAATCTGTTTTTTTTCACCTACATTACATCTATATACAAGCAACATGTACGTATTATACCAAATGCTCATTCACAAACTCTAAATCACCCCCGACTACAAAATTACTGAATATATAACAGAAATTATTAGAAATAAAAGGGGATTTTGGATGGTGGAGGGGTAGCAGAAGAATGATATAAGCTGCAGTTTATATTGCATTGTGATTGACAGGAATAGATGAACATGCTCCTCCTGAACTTTAATTTACAACTGCTTTTAATCAATCCAATATATGCCTTTCCCTATACTCAAAGGTAATAATGTAATATTATACATGCACATTTCAATTCAACTCTAATTGTTATGCTGGTAATACAATTTGCAATGACAAAAATAATTAAATTAATTAAAATGAGGAAAACACCAAATGAAACCATTTCCACTAGTGCTTTCAGTAATTATTGACATAGGAACAATATATAGGGATTATATACAGGGACACATGAACTGTACACTGTAAGTACATATATATATATATATATAATAAAAATATAACATTTATATTTATTTTGTAATGACAAACATACAATAACATGTATAAGGCAGAAATTCATTTTGGGAAATTATCAGAGATGATTACACTGAGCATTGTCCTATTGCCTCCACTATTAGTCTAGACAAAGAAATCTTTATACTGTATGCACCTTCAGCCAATTAAAACTGATTTTGGTAACCTCCCATCCCTTCTCAGACAAAAGCCCGACAGAAAGAAAAGGAATCAATGTTTTTCCTCTGGTCATTGGAAACAGCTGTCCCGCTGCTGTCCCACTGCACCAAAGAGATTCCGAGACGATGCCAAAGACATCGGATTCATCCAAAGAGGACCAACCCCCACAACACAAAGCTCATACAAACCCCATCAACTACATGAATCCTATTATCACAGACTCATGCTATAGACCGTCGCACACATGCAGAGGTGGTTATTCCAATATATATTTACAGCCCATCGCCTAAAAATTTGAATTTCAAATCTCACCTCATGAATCAATGTTTACATTACCTCTGGAAGTCAACCTGACTCACATCATGGCTATGAATAGCGAGTACCATGTTTGTAGCTTGTTGCCATGAAACAATGCAATAATTTAACCACGACAAAGACTCACTTTGGTTGATCCAAACATCAGACAATTAAAAAAAATTCACAAAAGTCAACTTGAGAATGATTATACAGGGACAAAAAAACAAAAAGCTCCTCTAGAAATGATAAATTAGTGGAAGCCAAATGCAATTAAAGTTCTACTCGAGCATATCGTGCGTGCCTGTAGCTTGGTTTCATTATGGCGCAATACACCTATTCCTCTGGGCTCCACGAGAAAGTCCACATGAATAAACATGAGAGTATTTTTTGCCAAACGCTAAAGGCCATGATGGTGCCTCCTCCTCTCTGAAAGACCATCTACCTCTCATTAACCGAACCCAGAATGGGCTGCAACCTTCCATTCTCTGTCTCATGTCCACTCTGTCATGCTCCTGTTATAGTCTGCGAGATGTTCAATGCCTCTGCAAAGACAAAGAAAGATTTAAGATAGGGCACCAATGTCTAGAACAGTCATTCAAGTGTAACTGAAATAAAACCAATCTGATTGAACATGCAAATATGTACAGAATCAATTAAAATCCAACAAACTATTCATACTTTACAGTGATTTTAACACATGTGAGGGATGTTTTAAGGGCCTAAAATATGTGGCCTTAACTTTTGTAAAATCACTGCAAACAAGGTCTTGATTTTATAATATATCCTTAAATTGATTTTATACAATTGTGATACCGGTCATAAAAACACCAATGTTAAATACATTAATTCATTATGTATTTAGACATTTTAAGACACTTATATTAATAATAATTGAAAAATATTCAGCAACACTTTAATTGAATCCTTTATGTAGAATGCATTATAAAATAATTTAATGCATTAGTTAATGCATTAATTATGCCTTGTATTATGCATTGTATGATCTCATGAATAATAACCACAGTGACACATTATAAAACATATCAATACTAAGTATAATGTATTAAAACAGGGGTCTCCAAACTTGGTCCTGGAGGGCCGGTGTCCTGCAGAGATCAGGTGTAACATGGAATCTGCAAATATTATAATGCATTTTAACTGTGGTTACAATTATTGCAATATATAATGCATAACAACATACTTTATGAATAACTTTGCATATATTATAGTCAGTGCATTGTTTTTGTTTTTTTCCAGAATTGCTGTTACCATTTTATAAAAATCTATAAGGTTTTGATTTACAATAATTTTTAAACAAAAGTTAAGGCCTCTTATTTTAGGTCACTAAAACCTTAAAACACCTCTCATGCATGCTAAACTCACTCTTTTGGTTTTAATTTATTCTGTACATATTGCATCTTCAACCTGTGCTATTTTGATTACAAGGCATAATTAATGCATTAAAATACTGTTATAATGCATTATATATAAAGGCTATAATAGGCTAAGTGTTACCTAATCTTCTACCAATTAATACAGTAATGCAGTCTAACTGTAGGCTGTTTATGGTTGCCAAGCAATGTAGATACTTTGTGCATTAATATTCAAATGTGCAGTCACTGCACAATAGCTCTGAATATGTAGCTTTTAGAGACAGAACAATCTGTTTTCTAGTGCATGATATATATAGTGCACAGTCAGTCTGGGAAAGATCTTTTCACAGCATTAAGCCGATAGTGACTAGCATTATAGTGACGGACAAGCATGCCGATAGAGCACTGTCTGTGTTTTAAATACCACGATTAGAGGAAACAACTTTGCATTGTCTCGTCTTTTGTCTGTCTATAAGACGTGATGTGTCCAGGCTAATAGTCTCTTGCATTAATGTAATTAGAACATGTATTACAGTCTCCAATGAGCATCAAGCTGTCTCGGAAAATTCAGTGGGTTGTAAGAGAGCGATGCAATTTACCTGAAATATCAATACATACATTTACACTCGCTCTTTCTCTCCCTCTCTCACATACACAGAGGCACATGCAAGGCAGAAAAACCGTATCGATTAGAAGACAACTGCAAGGGGAATGTGCTAAACCGAGAAAAGCCAGAGAGAAGCTGAAAAGAGAAATGTAAAAGCAAAGGACAAGGAATGAATATGTATGTACTGTATGTAATGAATATTTGCATCTTCCTATTAAAGAGAAAATTAGCATAATTTGCAAGGTCGATGTGTGAACGTAAACAAATTTAGACTCTAGCAAAAACAATTACTTTAAAACACTATTTTGATGACAATTAAGCACATGTTCTCCTAAATTGTCAGTTTTACTTGAGTATTTAAATAGTGATTCTCATTACAGTAATACAGCAAATATTTGCTGTATTTCATCACAAATCAAAGGCAGAACAACAAATACTGTCATGACATTTACCGTTTCAATAACATATCACTGTGTTTTGCATTACTGTAATGTGAATGAGATTTGGATGCATCTCATTACAGTAATGAGAATTTGAAAGACAAATGTGCTTTACTGTAATGAAAATCATGTAATAGCTAAAAGGGCTTCAGTTTCTTTAAGCAAAATGTACATTCTTTGTTGTCGTTCTTGAGTTATGATAGGTTTAAGATTTCCGGTTGCATCAAGGATCGGATGAGAAAATAGCTTTTTAAGGTAACATGGAAATGTACACGTTTTACAGTGTATTTTTAAACAAACAGCAAATTGAAACCGAGAAAGGAAGAACGAGAGTGAAACAGATAGAGAGAATGCAGGAGGAGGCGTTTGGCTGCATGTATCATCTGGCTCTTCTTGCAATCAAAGTTGCTCATGCTGATTTTGGACCGGAGTCCAAATCCTGAGCCATGCTATCAGGATCAAAGCAGCCACAAAAACGAAATTACTCACAGCAGAAGTGTGGAAGGGCTTTTGTCCAATAAAAATCCACTGTTTCATTTCACTGCTGCTGATTCATTATGATTCAACGTGAAGATAAGAACATCCTTCTTCACTTTCTCTCTCCAGATACACCACATTCCAGATCCGAAGTGGTGTTTCTGTTCAAAACAACATAGACACGTGATTATCAGAATATCACATTCAAATGAAGAAATGTATAACAATGAAAATTAAACTGGCAAAAATCTCAAGTAATGCATATCATGTAAACAATTTGAGAGACTAACCACTAGAGGGAGGCAAGAAGCCAATCTGCTGTCAACACCACACATCCTCAATAACTCCCTGTAATCTGTAAACCTTCATCTCTTTTCTTGTGGTGACAGCAATCAGATTTAGAAAATGATGGACCTGCCACATGTTCTTGCTGCTGTGATGTGGCATTACTCACAGCAGAAGTGTGGAAGGGCTTTTGTCCAATAAAAATCCACTGTTTCATTTCACTGCTGCTGATTCATTATGATTCAACGTGAAGATAAGAACATCCTTCTTCACTTTCTCTCTCCAGATACACCACATTCCAGATCCGAAGTGGTGTTTCTGTTCAAAACAACATAGACACGTGATTATCAGAATATCACATTCAAATGAAGAAATGTATAACAATGAAAATTAAACTGGCAAAAATCTCAAGTAATGCATATCATGTAAACAATTTGAGAGATTAACCACTAGAGGGAGCCAAGAAGCCAATCTGCTGTCAACACCACACATCCTCAATAACTCCCTGTAATCTGTAAACCTTCTCTTTTCTTGTGGTGACAGCAATCAGATTTAGAAAATGATGGACCTGCCACATGTTCTTGCTGCTGTGATGTGGCCTGTCAAGCCATGTAAAGAGCTAATTTAAATTTTTCCTTTAAGCAAGCAGTCATTTAGCAGATGCTTTTTATCCAAAGTAAACAAAGCACACTTTAGGGACATCTCTGGGGCAACATAAGGTAAAGCGTCTTGTCTGAAGATCTCGTTGAAACCTTCAACTTTTCAACGACTAGCCCAAAACTTTAACCACTAGGCCACATTACACCTTTAAATTCTTGACCCCACTTTCACATTAACCAAGATAAATGAAGGAGTTTAAAATGAAAAGATGCTCAGACCAGCCAGAAAGCGGTGCAGTAATACAAGCTATGGCCATAAACCAAGACAATTCCATCCAAAGGATGTCATGCAGTTAATTTGAAGCTCCATATGGACTTACAGACCACATCACTTCTTTCAATGGCCAGTGTAACAGAGGCCAGCGGTAGGTGCTGTGCAGGTAAAACCTCACTTCCCTGATCTCAAGAGACGCACTAACGACTGACACTAGTGGCTGCAGTCTTTAGCCTCCTTAGTGCATCTTCCTATTAAAGAGAAAATTAGCATAATTTGCAAGGTCGATGTGTGAACGTAAACAAATTTAGACTCTAGCAAAAACAATTACTTTAAAACACTATTTTGATGACAATTAAGCACATGTTCTCCTAAATTGTCAGTTTTACTTGAGTATTTAAATAGTGATTCTCATTACAGTAATACAGCAAATATTTGCTGTATTTCATCACAAATCAAAGGCAGAACAACAAATACTGTCATGACATTTACCATTTCAATAACATATCACTGTGTTTTGCATTACTGTAATGTGAATGAGATTTGGATGCATCTCATTACAGTAATGAGAATTTGAAAGACAAATGTGCTTTACTGTAATGAAAATCATGTAATAGCTAAAAGGGCTTCAGTTTCTTTAAGCAAAATGTACATTCTTTGTTGTCGTTCTTGAGTTATGATAGGTTTAAGATTTCCGGTTGCATCAAGGATCGGATGAGAAAATAGCTTTTTAAGGTAACATGGAAATGTACACGTTTTACAGTGTATTTTTAAACAAACAGCAAATTGAAACCGAGAAAGGAAGAACGAGAGTGAAACAGATAGAGAGAATGCAGGAGGAGGCGTTTGGCTGCATGTATCATCTGGCTCTTCTTGCAATCAAAGTTGCTCATGCTGATTTTGGACCGGAGTCCAAATCCTGAGCCATGCTATCAGGATCAAAGCAGCCACAAAAACGAAATTACTCACAGCAGAAGTGTGGAAGGGCTTTTGTCCAATAAAAATCCACTGTTTCATTTCACTGCTGCTGATTCATTATGATTCAACGTGAAGATAAGAACATCCTTCTTCACTTTCTCTCTCCAGATACACCACATTCCAGATCCGAAGTGGTGTTTCTGTTCAAAACAACATAGACACGTGATTATCAGAATATCACATTCAAATGAAGAAATGTATAACAATGAAAATTAAACTGGCAAAAATCTCAAGTAATGCATATCATGTAAACAATTTGAGAGATTAACCACTAGAGGGAGCCAAGAAGCCAATCTGCTGTCAACACCACACATCCTCAATAACTCCCTGTAATCTGTAAACCTTCTCTTTTCTTGTGGTGACAGCAATCAGATTTAGAAAATGATGGACCTGCCACATGTTCTTGCTGCTGTGATGTGGCCTGTCAAGCCATGTAAAGAGCAAATTTAAATTTTTCCTTTAAGCAAGCAGTCATTTAGCAGATGCTTTTTATCCAAAGTAACCAAAGCACACTTTAGGGACATCTCTGGGGCAACATAAGGTAAAGCGTCTTGTCTGAAGATCTCGTTAAACCTTCAACTTTTCAACAACTAGCCCAAAACTTTAACCTCTAGGCCACATTACACCATTAAGTTCTTGACCCCACTTTCACATTAACCAAGATAAAATGAAGGAGTTTAAAATGAAAAGATGCTCATCTAGACCAGCCAGAAAGCGGTGCAGTAATACAAGCTATGGCCATAAACCAAGACAATTCCATCCAAAGGATGTCATGCAGTTAATTTGAAGCTCCATATGGACTTACAGACCACATCACTTCTTTCAATGGCCAGTGTAACAGAGGCCAGCGGTAGGTGCTGTGCAGGTAAAACCTCACTTCCCTGATCTCAAGAGACGCACTAACGACTGACACTAGTGGCTGCAGTCTTTAGCCTCCTTAGTGTGGCCGCCTCCCCCCACGCGGGATATCATGTAAACAATTTGAGAGACTAACCACTAGAGGGAGGCAAGAAGCCAATCTGCTGTCAACACCACACATCCTCAATAACTCCCTGTAATCTGTAAACCTTCATCTCTTTTCTTGTGGTGACAGCAATCAG